ATGAGCTCACAAGCGTATAAGCTCCAATAAGATTAAAAGGGTCCTATTAAGCTTTGAAGTCCCCTTGTGAGCAGTATTTAAGGGGAAGGGGATGTTACTAATTGAAAATTTGTTGAAGGAGTGAATGAGTGTACATGGAGTATAGAAGAGGCAATTGAGAGAAATGAATACATGATCCCAGAAATGGGAACACGTGCATGATGGTTGCACATGTGTATAACTACATGTCAGTACATGTAAACACATAAACACATGTGTGGTAGTAGTAAGTGTAGTAAGAATATGTAATAGCAGGATTATTAGCTGCCTCTAATGACCTGAAAGGGAGCTTGGACTTTGGAAGATGACATAGGAGAAGAAAACGAACTTGCTATTCACCTCTCCCTCTTTCCCTTTTCTGGGGCCTCTCTGTGTCCGTGGCTGGAAACTCTATTGGACTGACCCAAGACCATGGGAACTAGCTCAGCCTGTTTGATGACAATGATGTGATACTGATAGAACCTTAACCTGAGAAATCCAGCCCCTGGCCTCAATCTCAATATCCTGAAAATGTCCAGGAGTATCTGGAGAAACATTTCTTATAGATTCAAGGAGAGAAAATTTTGAAGTGTGTATCTCAAGCCTGCTTGTGTTGGTTTCTCACTGAAAGAGTATTAGTTTTTTCCTTTTGAATTTCTCTTCCCTTTTAAAAGAAATGTCCATCAATAATACATTCTGGGCACTACACATCCATCCAGTGGTCTTTTAGTGAATTTTTTGGGGGGAAGAAGGCAATATTCTTAGTTGAGAATGCACGCATCGATTTTTATGATGGGCTGAGAAGTTTTGTAGTTTTTTGGTAGATAAATTTAGACTTTTGGTAACTATTTTATTGTCATCGGGAGAAAGCTTTAATAAAACAATAAAATTTGTCTATGGTTACACAACAAAATTTCTCAATATACATTACTAGAGAAAGGGACCATCTCTGTGATGCTAATTGCTACTGAAAACATTTTTCTTCCAAACATTTGTAGAAACCAGTGATGTCCAGTGTTAAACCCTGAACTTATTATATGGGTTTCAGGGGGGTAGACAAACAAAATTTTCTGGCACTGAGGAAAAAAAGGGCAATATACATAAAATAAAAGGTGGGAAAAACAAATAGATGCAGCCAAGTACAAAAAATACACCATTGACCATCATGATTCTAAAAATTATCCAAGAGACCTCTGTAGACTCTTCTAGACTGTAGAGAACATGCTGAAGTAGAAGGAATTTTCTAGAAATGTAGATATGTGAAAAAACTTTGCTATGAATCATTATTAGTATCTTCATACTTCATCATTATTTATTAAAAATGTATTCATCAAATAGATTTTAAAAGGCAAATACTGTGCTTTGTATTAGGAATATAATAATGAACAAGCCAGAAAAGATCTTACCTACATCACAGTAAGTCTTGTAAAAAGCCGATTCATTAACTGGTGAAATCTTAGTGGTTTGGGACAACTCATTTATCCCCAAATATCTCTTCCTTTCACCTGTTATAGGTAGATGGATTTTTTGGCTTTTTCAGTTTTCTATAAAGATTTTTGAAAACATTAAAATAGTCACTCATGCATTCACTAATTTGTTTAAACAATATTTATAGCTGTGATCACTGGTGTCAGTAAGCACTGTAGGTGCTGGGAATCTGGGGTGAAAGGTAATCACAGCACAGGTGCAGGTACAACCACATACAGCAGTGCCCCTCATCCACGATTTCGCTTTCCGTGGTTTTGGTTACCCATGGTCCATCGCAGTCCAGAAGTAGATAACCCTCCTTCCAACATATCGTTAGAAGGTCAATAGTAGCCTAATGCTATGTCACAATGTCTACAACATTCCTCTCACTTCATCTCCTCACGTAGGCATTTTATCATCTCACATCATCACAAGAAGAAGGGTGAGTATAGTACAATAGGATATTTGAGAGATAGAGACCACATTCACCTAACCATTTTATTCTAAGCTATTGTTGTTAATCTCTTACTGTGTCTAATTTATAAATTAAACTTTATCTCGGGTATGTATGTATAGGAAAGAACATAGTATAAACATGGTTCGGTACTATCCATGGTTTTCAGCATCCACTGGGGGTCTTGAGGTCTTGGTATCCTCTGCAGATAAGACGGCACTACTGTAAATGGACAATTATAATATGACCCAATAAATGCTATGATAGTGATAATGGCAGAATAAAAATGGGGATTTGGGACAAGGGCACCTAAAGGAGGTTACAGAGGAATCTTGGAAGGACCCTCTAACAACAGAAAAACAAATTGCATTTTAAAGTAGATTTAATGTGTTTAGGAGTTTATGGGTTGGAGACATGGTGGGGTGGAGTATTACAGTAAAGGGAAAAGCATATAGGGTGGAATTGAGGGAATGTGGTCCTTTGATCTTAGGTAACTTTTTTTTTTTATTTGAGACACATATTTATTCAGTTATTGGCAAGCAAGTTCAAATGAGTCACTTAACCTCCCTGAACTTCACTTTTTGTTTCTATAAAAAGGCAAAAGTTATAGTCAGCATCTAGTTCAATTCCTGTGACTTAGTATGCATTTCAGAAATGTTTTCCCACAATTTTCCTTCACAGAAACATTGTGACATACTATACATTAATGTATTTGGTATAGTATGAGGTATGGGAACATAGCAATTTTAGAAACTGTATAAACATATGATACTTTATTATAATATTTGACTATTAAAATAGAATAGGATTCTTATGGTGGGAGAAGGCTTAAGAGGTACCTGACCATTTTCTATACAATATCAAATATAATCCTCCAATAACCCCTTAGTGAATAAAATATCATTTTCTACATTTTATAAGTGAGAAAAAAAAGTCACTTACCCAAGGTTGTATAGTTACAAAATAGTTGTAAGATTTAGATTTAAAATGGAGGTCTGTTTGATTTTAAAACCCTTGTTGGTTTTTTTTTTTATTATGTTATATTACTCACCATACATTATATCATTAGTTTTTGATGTAGTGTTCCATGATTCATTGTTTGCGTATAACACCCAGTGCTCCATTCAGTACGTGCCCTCTTTAATACCCATCACCAGGCTAACCCATCCCCCCACCCCCTCCCCTCTAGAACCCTCAGTTTGTTTCTCAGAGTCCATAGTCTCTCATGGTTCGTCTCCTCCTCTGATTTCCCCCTCTTCATTTTTCCCTTCCTGCTATCTTCTTCTTCTTTTTTTTTTTTTTAACATATAATGTATTATTTGTTTCAGAGGTATAGGTCTGTGATTCAACAGTCTTACACAATTCACAGCGCTCACCATAGCACGTACCCTCCCCAGTGTCTATGACCCAGCCACCCCATCCCTCCCACCTCCCACCACTCCAAGTCTTCTTTGGAAAAATGTCTGTTCATGTCTTCTGCCCATTTCTTGATTGGATCATTTCTTCTTTGGACATTGAGTTTGATTAAGTTCTTCATAGATTTTGGATACTAGCCCTTTATCTGATATGTCATTTGCAAATATCTTCTCCCCTTCTGTCGGTTGTCTTTTGGTTTTGTTGACTGTTTCTTTTGTTGTGCAAAAGCTTCTTATCTTGATAAAGTCCCAATAGTTCATTTTTGCCCTTGCTTCCCTTGCCTTTGGCGATGTTTCTAGGAAGAAGTTGCTGTGGCTGAGGTCGAAGAGGTTGCTGCCTGTGTTCTCCTCTAGGATTTTGATGGACTCCTGTTTCACATTTAGGTCTTTCAAGCATTTTGAGTCTATTTTTGTGTGTGGTGTAAGGAAATGTTCCAGTTTCATTCTGCATGTGGCTGTCCAATTTTCCCAACACCATTTGTTGAAGAGACTGTTTTCTTTCCTTTGGACATTCTTTTCTGCTTTGTCGAAGATCTTAGGTAACTTCTGAAAAGCTTTTAGCATTTAGTACAGGGGAGAAGGTTGAGGGCAATTCATCTATAGTGAAAAGATGGAACACAGGGTAGGGACTTGAGATGAGGGTATGTGGGAAAGACAGGGGAAAGTGGCAGTAGGGTACTCAGAAATCAAAATGCCTATTGAAGACTTTGCTGGGAGTCAGCTCATCACAATTTGCGTTGTACGTTTATTTACCCTAGTACTACACAAAAACCTCTGTGAAGTTATCACAAATCATTGAATCTCCTTTAAGAAACTTGCCGTTGTATTAACAATGAAAGCCAATAAATACAAATAGGAAAGGAAGCAAACCCACATTATGAAAGAAGATAACAAAGTAGTGCTACTACAGTGTTTTCTTGGTGACTGAACAAAATTCATGAAATGTCACTGTTTTAAATGCCCTTTCATGGTTCAACTGGTTCAGACACTTGGTTCCACTGAATTCTTTCCACTTTCTGGCCTCAGCAGATACATGAGGTGGTGAGGATTAGAAGTAAAAAGGAAGAACTTTTCTAGGGGTGGCTGGGTGGTTCAGTGGTTAAGTGTCTGCCTTCGGCTCAGGTCATGATCCCAGGGTCCTGGGATCGAGCCCCACATCGGGCTCCCTGCTCCGTGGGAAGCCTGCTTCTCCCTCTCGCACTCCCCCTGCTTGTGTTCCCTCTCTCGCTGTGTCTCTCTCTCTCTGTCAAATAAATAAATAAAATCTTTTTTAAAAAAAAGGAAGAACTTTTCTAAGGATGTTCAGTAAAATTAAGGAAGGCATTATTAAATTTGTTTTTGTTTTGCCATTTTTAATCAGTTTTGTAAGCAAGTGACTTCAATGCCCAGAAGGAAAAGTGAGTAAAGGTGTATCAACATCTAACAAATCATTCACGTTACTCTTTGTAATCTTTCTTTTGGATATTTAACGGCTTGTAATGACTATGATCTTGCAGGCACTTCCCATAAGCTATATATGCATTATTAATGAAGTTCTGTGACTGGAAACTTCCATCACTGCAATGACTGTTGGAAAGCATAGGTTCATTCAAAATAATAATGCATAGGAGTTTGTCACAGTTTTAATATATGCATTCTTCTTGCAGATGGTTGAAAAAGAAGGCTATCTTCAGAAAGCTAAAATTGCAGATGGTGGAAAGAAACTAAGGTAATAAAACTTCCTTAATTCAGTTTTACATAACTATGATAGTTCTCCATCTCCTCAATTTGTGTCACTGCTGTTTAGAAAGGAAGGCCCTATGGTACGAGACTAGAATATTTCCCTCTGCTATCACTATGATCAACATTATTTTCACTATAATTACAGTTTTCCAATAAAGCACTACACTCTATATTGTTGCACATAATATTAAATGAGGTGCTTCTTGTCCTCCTGGAACTTGAAATCTTAAAAAAAAACATGCAAATAAATAAGATAATGGGTCTTGATTTTTGAGATTAACAGATTAAAGGATGAGTGCTCTCATTTTGCAGTATATAAAAATCTCCCTACAATACACTGGGAGCATAATTTTTGAAGATTGGGGGGTTTGAAATACATTTGCTGCTCAGATAAAAATCATTTGAGAAAAAAAGGAAAATAAAATTATTCTGTCAGATTAAAAGTTGAACGTTGCCGCATTTGAGGTGAAATGAACACAGAGTCAGTAAGAGAAAGTAGAAAAAGAAAATAAGAATTCCCCATGCAACAGCACCAAGAAAAACATCGAAGGAAAAAATGAGGTTGATAGGTAGAGAAAGATGCTAGACATTCTCTATGGATGGGATATTTAGAAATAACCATTTCCATTTTAGAATGTTTCCTATTTCTCGAATACGTACTATTATATACTTAGCTTTGTGCTAGGTGATATGTAAGCTACAAAGATATGTAGAAGGTGCTCAAATCGGGAGACAAGGCATTCACTTATGACTGTATTATTAACAGTTAAAACCATAAAGGATGAATGTACTAATTAGCTACACAATGGGACACTTGTTAATTGTATAATGCAATTCATTACTGGAATGACACTCTGGCCAACAATAGATCATAAAGTATGCATTTGTTTGCTGCCTATAATGGAGTATGTATATATTTATTTAAAAGAAGTAAAACTGGAGAAAACAATCATCCGTAATTCTGCTGCTTAAAAGAGCTATTTCAATTTTAAAGAACGCACTCTACTTTTGGCTTACGTTGTGTTTTATTCTGGGATGGTAAACAGGGCCTTGAACCTCTTCTACACTGCCTCTGTATAGTAACCCTGTAGCCACATTTCCTCGTCGGGTCCAGGAGAGACATGGATAGGACAGAAGGTCAAATGCAAGGCTGCTTTAAGAGACTGGACTGGTCCCTACCCCAGTGGAGAATCTGGCTTAAAGTGTTGGACTCTGCAAGGACACCAGGATGATTTTTTGACTTTGGCTTAACCCAGCCTAGTGTCTTCCTTTTCCTTAGACCTCAAACCCAATTGCGCCAGCCCAAGGGAGTAGTGCTGAGGGTACAGCAACGACTCTTCCCAAGATAAACAAGTGAAGACCTTCTCTTACCTTACCAGTTACGTGCTCACAAAGTCTAAAGAGGGACAGAAAAAGACCTGAGGACTTGTCTAAGTTCAGCTTTCACTGGGGCTTGGTAGCGGAGAGGAAGTGAGAGCTGAAAGGAAAGCCTCATACGTGGGAGAGGAGGAGATACTGAGAGGAGTTCCAGAAAATAAAGATGATGCCCCGGTTTTGCCTGTCAACCATCCTTTTAAAATTTTTTCCTGGAGGGTGATGTCAAGAAAAAACAGAGGAGCAGAACTAGGCCCTTTCCCCAACTATCTCACATGAATACATTTTTGGACAGTTTCAATCAGCGTGTATACCATTTTGTATTTGTTTCATTTGTTGTTACTTTAATCAGTTTGCAAATCATTTTTGTGCTCTAGTTTAAATTCATATAAACATTAGCTTGTACTCTGTTTTATTGTTATTTCAATCAGTTTGCATACAATTATGCATTCTTTCAGCTTTTTTCATTTAAAGCTATATACATTTTAGTTTTTTTTTAACATCAGGTGCACAGAATTGAGTTGATTTTACTGCTCAGTGTTGGCTTTGTATTATCATCATTCTGGGCAAGACCCCTAGCTGGTTTTATTTTATCCTCAGTCTCCAACCCTCACTTCAATCCCCTGTAGAATGTATGTTCATCACATCCACTCTCCATATACTCATGTGGTTATATGTGTGGCATTCTAGTAAATAGTGTATAGTTGTGAGTTTGTGAATGTGTCCTAAATTGCATAAGCCTTTTTGTGTTATAAACTTCCTTCTGTTTCTTATTACTTTTATTCAATGTTAGTGTTTGGACATGGATCTGTATCTATATATTTAAAATGAGTTCACTTCTTCCAACTGCTGCCCATTTTGCCATTGTGTCCATACACCATGTTTTACTTAATCTCTCAGTAGTGGACCCCTAAATTGTCCCTAACCCCTTCCATCCCCTGAACAACATTGCAATAAGCCACACATATATGTCTCCTTACGCACCCGTTAGGTATTGTCTCTGGGGCATATACCCAGGAGTGAAGGATTGCTTGGTGGTAAGACACACGCATTTATAAAGCCATTGAGTGCTGCAGCCAGACTTCCTCCTGGATGAGTGCATGAGTTCACACTCCTGCAAAGGACAAGGCAGCTTGTCCTGCCATCATCTCGTCACCCAGCATTATATAACTCTTAGTTTTGCAAGTCGATGGCAAGATAATGTTACTACAGTGTTGCATTTATTTTTCTTCCTCTCGTTGGCATTTCAATTGAGCATCACTTCATCCATTTAGAGTTAGTCAGGTTTCGCATTCTGAGAATTGCCTAGGTATCAACTTCAACTATTTTCTGTTAGTTTTCTCACTTTATTTTTGAAAGAATTCCTAATATCATCAAGGTAGTCATAACCTTGTGAACTTTGGACTTTGTCAATATCTCCTCCAAGTCTCTCACTGTCTATTTACCTTGCTGATGAAAGCCCTCAATGACCCAAAATCTTTAACTTTGATCCATATTGTTCCATAATTTTACTCCTTATTGTTTTTTTTAATAACCATTTTACAAATTGAACACTGTAGATGTAGTCACCATGTTTAATAACATGTAATATCCCGTCAGGTTGATGGCACTGTACTATACCAGACCATTCCTATACTCTTCTTTTATTTGAATTTTAAGTTGATTCCAGCCTTATACTAAAATAGTTATAATTGCAGCAAAACTCCTATTGTTTGTCAGTGTTTCTTTTATTTTTTTAAGATAAATGCTAAGCCTGAAATACTTGATTAAATCACATAAACTTTTTTTTTAATGTTATGGATTGCCATATTGCTTTGTCCAATGAGTCGGTATGTTTTTGTAGCTAGTAACAAAATGGTCAGTTTAATCATAACCTTGAAAAATTGTGTAGTTTTTATCCCATTGAAAATTTAGTAAATATTAAATAGTATACCATAGTTGCTATCGTTTGTATTTTTAATATAAATGCCTTTTGATTGCCTTTTGCCCACTTATCAAGGTACTTTATATCTGTTATACATTTTACTGAGTTAATAAGCAGTATTACTAAATGCTTACTCTGTCAAGTTTAGCTAAATGCTTCATAATACTGAAATGATACTCTAAGATAGGCTATATTATTATTTTACTTTCAATTTTACAAATGAAGAAAATTAACCACTGGTATTAACCTCTCCTTTCTCCTGAACCTTATCGTATACATAGTTAGTACCAGATTTTAGCCCTGTCCTTTGTTTGAAGTAGGTTAGTTTTTTCTCTCTTGCTAGAATCTCCTTAGGGCCGAGAAGCAAAAACTGTCCTGTTATCTCATACCAGTAACGGTACCAAGGGCTTCAGTTATCACTTAGCAAACATTATTTTATTACTGTCTATAAAGTTTTCTGTTCAAAAATCATTGAAAGCTCATCCCCATCATGCATTGTGTTTTTATTTTTCTTCCTTCCCCTCCTTTTCCGTTTTGTTTAGCTTCCCTCTTTTATATATTTTTCTTTCTCTCTAAGAAAAGTTTGACCTCTCTCTGAACATGAACAAGAGTGGGTAAAAGGAAGGAGAACTCATTGGCTATATCTTCCATTCACAAATGGCCGTAAGTTTAGCCTTGTCTTGAAATGGCGTTCTATAAATTACCACATGATACACAGACAGGATTGAAAGCTGAATACATTCAGTGCTCAACTTTAATTTTTTTAATTGTTAACATTGAAAATATGTTTTACTTTTCCATGTTTTAGTTTAGGAAGTCCTTCATTTTGGGACTTCCATCCCCCAAACTAAGTAGCAGCCCAGGTCTCTCTGAAGCTCTGTGAGACCCCAGTGAAAAGCTATTTTCAATACTTTCCTTTACAAAAGGCACCTGACAGTGTGGACACTTGTCTCCATCTATGCCTGTCACTTTCACTTCATGCCTGCCCCTTCATCATCTCCCTGGTGGCTCTGCACAGCTGATCACATCTAGCTGTCCCTCTGGGGGCATGGAAAGTACTTGGGGGTGAAAAGATGAGCAGAAGAGGGGTATGGGAAGAAAAGAAGTGAAGGTAGTGCAGTGTTTATTTCTACTAGTGGTCATTTTCATCCCAGAGCCCAGAACTATGAGACCTTTGTTTTTATTTGTTTTCTTTTTTCTTTTCTTTTCTTTCTTTTTTTTTTCTTGAACAGTTGTTCCTCAGAAGAGACTTCCTTTAGAACATGATGCCAAAGTACCCTGCTAATGTGAACTTATTTTTTCTTTAGCACTTTCTGCTCAGGATCTCAGTAAATTCTTCCAGGCTGAATTGTCATTCTCTCCTTTTATGCTCAGTAGTGAGGACGGGAGGGAAGATTTGGGTAGTACAGAATACAGAAGTTAAGTTGTAAAGGTTTGTTTTAGTTTTAGGATTTCCTTCATATGCTCTGTTATAATTTCCAACATCTGATAACTCTTCGGATATATCAAGATTTTACATTTCTTGCAATACTGACAGAGATGTGTGCATTTATACTGCAGTGTCTCTTTGGCCCACTTTTAGCAGTGGCAATTTACAAGAGACTTAGAGTATGAGAGAGAAGAAATAATTTCCCAACCTACCAGTTTGTGAATGAGTAAGAACTCTTAACAGTGACCAAAGGATTTTA